TTATCTATTTTAAAAACAATACATTTACATATTAATACAGTCGCAAGACATACGTGTATAAATACGCCATATATAAAATATTCTAAAACAAAAAAGAAAAAACGGACCCTCTTTAAAAACCCAATAAATCAAAATATATTATACCACAAACTAACTCTATCGAAAAAATCTATCTAAAGTCAATATAACATGTTACTACTACATACAAAACTATAAAAGTCTTAGTCAATACAGAACAAAACAGTAAACTAAAACCCGAAGGAGGAGTTTACTCCATCCCCTGTAATAATTGTCACAAAAAAGTACATAGGAGAAACCTCAAGGAATATAAATAAAACAATTATATGAACACAAAAGGGACATTTTACAAAATAATACGTCAAACGCTTTGGTTACCCACCACAACGCTGACCACATATTTGGCATAAAATAATTCACTACAGCATAAGTGTCTAGAGAGTGCCTTGATCACAGGGGCACCTACAATAACTTTGCATCCTGGCTCTTACAACATTTCACCATTCGTGACAGATCTTCTATTATCACTGTACGCGATATCTAATAACAAAAGTGATGAAAAAAAAAATAAAATAAAAAGACGCTAAATAAATTCGGGTAGATATATAAAAAAAATCTAAACATCCCAGCATCCCTCGTTCGTGACAAATTTAGTTTGATGAAGCCCTGAAGGATGATATGTACCACAAGTTAATTTTTTCTACTTTGACATACAATTTCCCCAATACTGTTTTTGATATATAAAATTATAATAATAATAGCTTGCCACTCGTCTTCAAGGATACCCGTCTACTAGCCAACCCCTATTGCAGTTGCTCGCTGAGATACACTATGTGTTTGCTTAACACCCACAAAGCCCAACTGCAACTATGCTGAGCAGACCTTAGTTACAGTTTCTGGGAGATAATGAGTTATCTCGCGCAATCAACATTTTGAACAAAGCTCACGGTCTCGGACACGATGACTTGTGACTTCGTGCTAGCACAGCTATCGACGGCTCCGTCTACCCAATTTCACTCACAAGGCTTGGGTCAACTCGTGGTATGGTTTTCAGGTATTTTTCAAAGATGTTGCACGCTGGGATCGACCTCGATCCATTCCGATAACATCAGAGAGTCTCCTTCCTGACAAATAGTGAGATTCCAACACGGCTTTCATGGTCAGAAAGCGAACGTGCTAACCTCCCGGCTTCCATATATAAAAAATATATAAATATACGTATATGTTTACATGTATATACGCATGTGAATGCAAGAGTTTTATTCTGAAATATCAATATAT